TAGTGTTCACTAGTGGCATTTCAGCTAGCAGCCAGTTGCTGGCCACTATTGAGTCTAATATTACTCCACTTGTGGGGGTGCTCTGCGGTAAGTACATTTTGTATCATTCTATGACTGTGATGATACATTTGTTTCCACCAGTACCGCGTGTTCTATCCGGCTTTCTGCTGCATTTAAGTTTCCGCCACAATACTGGTTTACCCTTACTACTGGTACTGTATTACTGTATTACTAAAGCTTTGGGCAAGATATGTGATATTTATACACTTGCTGCATTCTTCTCTGTACATCATACCCTAATAATCTGCCGTCCTCCCTACTTTACTTAGCACAGACGTGTGCTTTTGGTGATTAACCCATTCCCGCCGGCAGATGGAAATTTTCCGTTAACCTTGTCCTTCGGTTAAGGACCGTTGACGGAAAATTTCCGTCATTTACTAAAGTTAAACCCAGATCGCCACGATCACCGCGATCGCGGGATTAACGGTGCTCCAGTCTGCCTCTGTATTAGAGGCAGACCGGGAGCATCCGATCGGGCTGCCCCAGCACCGGTGCTCGCTCTGACAGGCTGTCAGAGTGAGCACACGTGCTGTATATACTCACCTTCCGCCTCCCTGCACTTCCGGGTTCTGCTTGAAGTGCAGGGAGACGGATCAGTGCTGCTGATCTTCTCCCTGTGTAAAAAAATAAAAATAAAGTTAAATCCCACCCCCCCCCCCTTTCCCCTGCTTTAATAAAATTAACCCCTTCCCTGCCAATTGATCACTGACTACAGTGATCAGTTGGCAGGGTATACATTTTAATGTCATCTGATTTTTTTTTTTTTTAACCCCTGTTTTTTTTTTTGTTTTTTTTTAACCCTCAGGGGTTAAATGTATTTTATTAATTAATTTAAATATTTAAAAATTATATATTTAGCTAGCTGGGATGGGTGGAAGTTAGTGGGGAATTGGGGAATTTGGTGTTAGGCTAACTAGGGGATAACGTTAAAAAAAGTTTTAAAATAAGCTTTAAAAAGGTAAAAAAAAAATTTTAAAAATGTTTTAGTAACGTTTAAGTAAAAAAATAAAATAAAAAATACTACCCCCCTTTACCCAGTTTACATAAAAATTAACCCCTTCTCTGCCAGTTGATCACTGCCTACAGTGATCAAAATACAGATCACAGTATTATACTGTAATCTAAATTATTTTAACCCTTGAGGATTAACTTTTATTTATTTTTTAACCCTCAGGGGTTCAATTTATTTAATTAATTAATTTAAATATTTTATAATTATATATATTTTGCTAGCTGGAGTGGGTGGGAGTTATGAAAAAGGGGGGAATTTACTGTTAGTGCTGCTTACTGCTAGTTAGGGGTTAACGGTAAAAGAAAAGTTTAGAAAAAAATTTAATAAGTAAAAAAAAAAAGTTTAAAAATGGGTTTTACAAAGTAAAAAAAGTTTTACAAAGTAAAAAAATGCATAGTGTACTATGTAGTGTACCACACTTGGTACAAGCTAGCGGAAAAATGATCCCACGCTAAGGTTCAAAATATGCCTTTTGAATTACCCTGGGATGTCTTCTTTAAGAAATGGTATGCCTTTATGGTGTAATTGGATTATATAGCCTTGTAAAATACTCTAAAATGGGACATGGGCACAGCGTAAAAATTCTAAATTTGAGAAAAACTGGAATGGCTGTGTCTCAAACGTGCCCCTTCAATGTCCACATATACCTGGCAAAGGTACATATGGGGGTATTGCTGTACTCAGCCGACATAGCTGAGCAACATATGACGTAGTATACAGTCGTAGTACACATAAGGTTTGCAAAATATACTGTGCAAACTCACTTTGTGTGTCAAAAAGGCCGAAAAACGCTTATTACCACTTCACTTGGTACAAGCTAGCGGAAAAATTATTCCACGCTAATGTTCAAAATATGCCTTTTGAAATACCCTGGGATGTGTTCTTTAAGAAATGGTATAAATGGTGTAGTTGTAATATGTAGCCTGCTCCAAAGTGGGACATGGACGCATCAAAACCCTCCATGAAAATTCACACTTCAAAACCTTAACTTGTCACGTCTCTTTTACAGCAGTGTAACTTCACAAAACAGTGTCTCGGTCATACATTGGGCATATTGTTTTACTCAGAAGACTTAGCTGAGCATAATTTGGGGGGTTTGAACTTAGTGGCACATATGAAATAATCAAAATGCCCAGCAAAAATGTAATCCGTATGTAAAAAATGCCCAAAATTATTTTATACCACATACTTTGGCATATATTGGTGAAAAAATGGGGGCATGTAAAGGCTCAATATGCACCAGATGAGATACCCTGGAGTGTCTACTTTTACAAATGGTAGGCCTTTGTGGTTTTTTTTTGAACAGTCAAACTGCTATAATACCCCAAATTGAAGCATAGGCCCATTAAATCTGCCTCTCAAAATTTTACTGTAAATGTTGAAACGGACAGGTCTCCTATATGGCACTGTAGCTTCACGAAATAGTTCTAAAGACATACAATGGGGGTATCATTGTACTCAGCAGAAGTAATTGAACACAAAATAAAACTTTGTACAGGAATAGCACACACCAACTTTACAAAATACACATGAGAAGTTCTTTGTTATAAGTTTGTGTGCCAAAACCCCCAAAAAAACAACATTTTACTCCAATATTTAGCAGAGATTGGCAGTGAAATGGCTACGTAGAAAGTGTCAAAACAACCTTAGGTAAATAGCCTGTGATGTCTACTTTATATAAATCTATACTTTTGTGTGGCAATTTTGTTTTCTTTTATGGCTATTAAGCTTACAAGACAAACATACCAAATTCTAAAATCGCTCCACATTAAAAGTTTATTTTACTCCTTGTGCTTTGTGACATGTAACTACCAAAAAAAACTTAAAATCCCAGACACATTATATATTCTGTAAATCAGAACAACTAAATGAATTTATTTTTAATTACTTTCTGTAACCTGCACTAATTAGGCACACATTATTATTGCAAAAACTGTAAAAAAACACAATTTTTTTCTTTTTTTTGTGCATTTTTCTTTTTTTTTATAATAAATAAGCATTTATATATATATATGTTACATCAAATTAAAGCCCTTTCTGTCCTTAAAAAAACAGTATATAATATGTGTCGGTGCAATAAACGAGAGAGATGCAAATTGCAGTTGAACGCATACAGCAAGAAAATGCAAAAATTTCATTTTTATATTTATATTCGTGTATATATTTATTAATTTACACTGATTTATTTTGTCTCATTAGATATACCCTTCTTTATTTGTATTGCTTTGGTCCCCACTTCCTTGTGTATGCTGAGCACATTGGGTTATTGCTAGTAGCAATTTTTACAATCTCATTACAACTAATAAATATTTCTTATTTTTTGACCTCAAGGCCTTTTATATTTGAGTCTTGTGACTTGGATCTGCTGTTCATCCCAGTATCTAGTTTCGGTACACCATCTCTAACCTACAGTCTGTTTTCACTAGGGGTCACCCCCCTTTTTTCAAGTGTACCATACAGGGTGATTTCAGTTTGTTTTTAGCATCTCTAATAGGCCATCATTGGGGGTCTTGTAAATTCCTCAATAGTTGGGTCACTACCAGTCAAAATGTGCCAATGTTTACGTACAACTTTCCTTATTGTAGGAATGTGTACCAAGCTTGGACATGAATTTTATCATGTGTGTCTCAGTATTTCTCACTCTTGGTCTCCTGATATTTCTGGGGTCATATTTTTTAATTTCCTAAACAATTTTTGTTTAAATTCTCTTTTGGAATCCTTTCAGGTGAATGTAACTATGGGGCTATTGCTGCACTTCTCCTTATTTAGCTATATTGCTTATTTTTCCCTTATCTTTTCCTTTTTCCTTTCTTGTTTCTTTCTCATGGATGAACTTTTTAATTTATAAGGAATTTAATAATTATAAATGCACTGTTTTTGCACTGGTATATGTATATTTATAAATTTGATGTATAATTGACTGACTGTTTTTATTTAATGGATTATTTTGCACATAATTTGTTCATTGTGGTTATGGTTGACATACTGTGACACTGAGGTGATAGCTTGATAAAGGCCTCTGTGTAGGCCAAAACGTTTATTGGAAGATTAATTGGGACAAAAAGTTCCACTTTTTGTTCCAATAAACCTGCCTTTTTTTTTTTTAGCAATCCTGAGTGTCTGGACCTAATTTATTAAATTTACTAATACTTACACCAGATTGTCACAGTCCTGGCGATCGTGGGTTTAATGCTGTTGTTGGCTCCCTCGGCATCAGAGGCAGACCAGCAGCAACCAATCACTCTGTACACAGTGATCACTGTGCTGCTGGGACATTTGATCCGCCTCCCTCCACCTTGGCCTTGATAAGTACCTGGATTCCTAAATGTGAGTGCGGTATCCTCGGTTTGTGAATTACTTAGTATTAGTAAATAATGGAAAATTCCCTTCACGCATCATTAAGGGTAGGACTGCCGTGACAGAACATTTCCGTCAAGCATTGCAAAGGGGTTAAAATACAAAATAACAAACAGCAAACCATATTGCTTAATGATTTATTTCAATGTGAACTTTAGGACTCTTTATCGGATCAAGTTCCGTCCACTTTATTTCTTTTGCAATAAAAGTACAATTTTATCTTAAACTTCAGTATCATTAACAGTACTCTCCTCCTATCATGCCGGACAATTCTCTTAATTAAAGGTTTATGAGATTTAAAGTTTTAGAAATCATTTATAAGGAAATGCAGCTCATCCAGGTTTAAGTGTTCCTGGTAAACTGGATTGAAAGCAGAAAACTGATTTTTTTGAATTTGATAGTTGATACAATCAAATAGGTTAAGCATATAATTCAGATTTAAAAAAATGAATTGAACAAAATTATATCACACAAGTTTGTAAATCATTTCAGTAATAAAAACTATAACATTCGAGTCAAGACAAGTATACTAAATTTTTATATTCTCTTAGATTTGGACTGGAAAACAAAGATGCAACATCAACAGTTGGATTTTTCCGGAAAGGTTCAGCAGAATATTGGAAAAACAGGTAATGAAAAAACAAATTTACCACAGGAAACCAGGCAGAAAGAAAATAAGAGAAGTAGAAGAAGAAATTATAGCGATGTCATACTTGAGTTAGAGTCAAGACATATTGAGAAAACTATCACAATGGCAGGAAATGATGAAGAAAAAGTAAACTCTGCAAAAAACAGACAAAAGTATTTCATTATAAACACAGACAGAAATAAAGATGGCTTTAAAGAAATAAATAATGAAAACAGGAAAATGGATGCACTGTTAGAAGGAAGTTGGTCTGGATCTGGAACAACAGAAACATCCCCTGACACCACAATGGTCAGAGACACTGCAACAGCCAGCTCACCACCGGAAGGGTCTGGAGACGTGGATACAACAGAAGCACCCTCTTACACCACAACGGTCAGAGACACCATGACAGCCAGCTCTCTGCCGGAGGGGTCCGGAGATGTAGATCCAACAGAAACACTTACTAAATCCACAATGGTCAGAGAAACTGCGATAGCCAGCTCACCGCCGGAAGGTTCCGGAGGCGTGGATCCAACAGAAACAACCCCTGAAACCACAACGGTCAGAGACACCATGACAGCCAGCTCACCGTCAGAAGGGTCCGGAGATGTGGATCCAACAGAAACACCCCCTGACAGCACAACGTTCAGACACACTGCAACAGCCAACTCACTACCGGAAGGGTCTGGAGACATGGATCCAACAGAAACATCCACTGACACAACAACGGTCAGAGACACTGTGAAAACCAGCTCACCGCCAGAAGGGTCCGGAGACGTGGATCCAACAGAAACACCCTCTGACACAACAATGGTCAGAGACACCGCGACAGCCACCTCATTGCCAGAAGGGTCCGGAGACATGGATCCAACAGAAACACCCCCTGACACCACAACGGTCAGAGACACTGCAGCAGCCAGCATACCGCCGGAAGGGTCCGGAGACGTGGATCCAACAGAAGCATCCCCTGACACTACAGCGGTCAGAGACACTGTGACAGCCAGCTCACCGCCAGAAGGGTCCGGAGACGTGTATCCAACAGAAACACCACCTGACACCACAACGGTCAGAGACACAGCGACAGCCAGTTCAGCACCGGAGGGGTCCGGAGACGTGGATCCAACAAAAACACCCCCTGACACAACAACGGTTAGAGACACTGCAACAGCCAGCTCACCGCCGGAAGGGTCTGGAGACGTGCATCCAACAGAAACACCCCCTGACACCACAACAGTCAGAGACACCGTGACAGCCAGCTCACCGCCGGAAGGGTCCGGAGACGTGGATCCAACATACACACCCCCTGACACCACAACGGTCAGAGACACCATGACAGCAAGCTCATCGTCGGAAGGGTCCGGAGACATGGATCCAACAGAAAAGCCTCCTAACACCACACAACGGTCAGAGACACCAGACAGCAAGCTCACTAGCGGGTCTGGAGACATGGATCCAACAGAAAAGCCTCCTAACACAACAATGGTCAGAGACACCATGACAGCCAGTTCACCTTTGGAAGGGTCCGGAGATGTGGATCCAACAGAAACACCCCCTGACATCACAACAGTCAGAGACACAGCGACAGCCAGCTCACTACCGGAAGGGTCCGGAGATGTGGATCCAACAGAAACATCCCCTGACACTACAACGGTCAGAGACACTGTGACAGCCAGCTCACCACCAGAAGGGTCCGGAGATGTGGATCCAACAGAAAAACCACCTGACGGTACAACGGTCAGAGACACTGCAACAGCCAGCTCACCGCCGGAAGGGTCCGGTGACGTGGATCCAACAGAAATATCCCCTGACACTACAACGGTCAGAGACACCGCAACAGCCAGTTCACCTTTGGAAGGGTCCGGAGACGTAGATCCAACAGAAACACCCCCTGACATTACAACGGTCAGAGACACTGTGACAGCCAGCTCACTACCGGAAGGGTCCGGAGGCGTGGAAGGGTCCGGAGACATGGATCCAACAGACAACACCCCCTGACACCACAACGGTCAGAGATACTGTGAACAGCCAGCCTCACCGCCAGAAGGGTCTGGAGACGTGGATCCAACAGAAACACCCCCTGACACCACAACGGTCAGAGACACCGCAGACAGCCAGCTCACCGCCAGAAGGGTCCGGAGACGTGTGTCCAACAGAAACACCACCTGACACCACAACGGTCAGAGACACAGCGACAGCCAGCTCACCACCGGAGGGGTCCGGAGATGTGGATCCAACAAAAACACCCCCTGACACACAACGATCAGAGACATTGTGACAGCCAGCTCATCGTCGGAAGGGTCTGGAGACATGGATCCAACAGAAATGCAACCTAACACAACAACAGTCAGAGACACCGCGACAGCCAGCTCACCTTTGGAAGGGTCCGGAGATGTGGATCCAACAGAAACCCCCTGACATCACAACCTCAGACAGCCACAGATGTGGATCCAGTCAGTCAGAGACACAGCGACAGCCAGCTCACTACCGGAGGGGTCCGGAGACATGGATCCAACAGAAACACCAACCGACACACAACGTCAGAGACACCACAATTGCCTCAGAGACACTTGACAGCCAGCTCACCGCCGGAAGGGTCCGGAGACGTGGATCCAACAGAAACACCCCCTGACACCACAACAGACACAGAGAACGGTTAGAGCCACACTCTCAGCCAGCTCACCGCCGAGGGGTGGTCTGAGACATGGACATCCAACAGAAACACCCCTGACACTGACACCACTGTCAGAGTCAGAGACAGACAGTGACAGCCAGCTCACGCCGGAAGGGTCGGAGACGTGGATCCAACATACACACCCCCTGACACCACAACGGTCAGAGACACCGTGACAGCAAGCTCACGTCGGAAGGGTATGGAGACATGGATCCAACAGAAAAGCCTCCTAACACCACAACGGTCAGAGACACCGTGACAGCAAGCTCATCGTCGGAAGGGTCTGGAGACATGGATCCAACAGAAAAGCCTCCTAACACAACAATGGTCAGAGACACCGTGACAGCCAGTTCACCTTTGGAAGGGTCCGGAGATGTGGATCCAACAGAAACACCCCCTGACATCACAACAGTCAGAGACACAGCGACAGCCAGCTCACTACCGGAAGGGTCCGGAGATGTGGATCCAACAGAAACATTCCCTGACACTACAACGGTCAGAGACACTGTGACAGCCAGCTCACCACCAGAAGGGTCCGGAGATGTGGATCCAACAGAAAAACCACCTGACGGTACAACGGTCAGAGACACTGCAACAGCCAGCTCACCGCCGGAAGGGTCCGGAGACGTGGATCCAACAGAAATATCCCCTGACACCACAACTGTCAGAGACACCGCAGCAGCTCACCGTCGGAAGGGTCGGAGACGTGGATCCAACAGAAACACTGCCTGACACAACAACATTCAGAGACACTGACAGCCAGTCACCGCCGGAAGGTTCCGGAGACGTGGATCCAACAAAACACCCCCTGACACCACAACGATCAGAGACATTGTGACAGCCAGCTCATCGTCGGAAGGGTCTGGAGACATGGATCCAACAGAAATGCCTCCTAACACAACAACAGTCAGAGACACCATGACAGCCAGCTCACCGCCAGAAGGGTCCGGAGACGTGGATCCAACAGACACACCACCTGACACCACAACAGAAATGCCTCCTAACACGACAACAGTCAGAGACACAGCGACAGCCAGCTCACCACCGGAGGGGTCCGGAGATGTGGATCCAACAGAAGCAGCACGTGACACCACAACGGTCAGAGACACTGCAACAGCCAGCTCACCGCCGGAAGGGTCCGGAGACGTGCATCCAACAGAAACACCCCTTGACACCACAACAGTCAGAGACACCGTGACAGCCAGCTCATCGCCAGAAGGGTCCGGAGACGTGGATCCAACACACACACCCCCTGACACCACAACGGTCAGAGACACCGTGACAGCAAGCTCATCGTCGGAAGGGTCTGGAGACATGGATCCAACAGAAAAGCCTCCTGACACAACAATGGTCAGAGACACCGTGACAGCCAGCTCACCTTTGGAAGGGTCCGGAGATGTGGATCCAACAGAACCACCCCCTGACACCACAACAGTCAGAAGCAATGTGACAGTCAGCTCACCGCCGGAAGGGTCCGGAGAAGTAGATCCAACAGAAACACCCACTGACACCACAACTGTCAGAGACAATGTGACAGTCAGCTCACCGCCGGAAGGGTCCGGAGAAGTAGATCCAACAGAAACACCCACTGACATCACAACTGTCAGAGACACTGGGACAGTCAGCTCACCGCCGGAAGGTTCCGGAGACATGGATCCAACAGAAACACCCCCTGACACCACAACGGTCAGAGACACAGCGATAGCCAGCACACCGCCGGAGGGGTCTGGAGACGTGGATCCAACAGAAACACCCCCTGACACCACAACGGTCAGAGACACCATGACAGTCAGCTCACCGCCAGAAGGGTCCGGAGATGTGGATCCAACAGAAACACCCCCTGACACTACAACGGTCAGAGACACTGTGACAGCCAGCTCACCTTCAGAAGGGTCCGGAGACGTGGATCCAACAGAAACACCCCCTGACACAACAATGGTCAGAGACACTGCAACAGCCAGCTCACCACCGGAAGGGTCTGGAGACGTGGATCCAACAGAAACACCCCCTGACACCACAGCGGTCAGAGACACCGCGACAGCCAGCTCCCCGCCAGAAGGGTCCGGAGACGTAGATCCAACAGAAACACCCCCTGACATTACAACGGTCAGAGACACTGTGACAGCCAGCTCCCCAACGGAAGGGTCCGGAGACGAGGATCCAACAGAAACACCCACTGACACAACAACGGTGAGAGACACTGTGACAGCCAGCTCACCGCCAGAAGGGTCCGGAGAGGTGGATCCAACAGAAACACCCACTGACACCACAACGGTTAGAGACACTGCAACAGCCAGCTCACCGCCGGAAGGGTCTGGAGACGTGCATCCAACAGAAACACCCCTTGACACCACAACAGTCAGAGACACCGTGACAGCCAGCTCACCGCCGGAAGGGTCCGGAGACGTGGATCCAACATACACACCCCCTGACACCACAACGGTCAGAGACACCATGACAGCAAGCTCATCGTCGGAAGGGTCTGGAGACATGGATCCAACAGAAAAGCCTCCTAACACCACAACGGTCAGAGACACCGTGACAGCAAGCTCATCGTCGGAAGGGTCTGGAGACATGGATCCAACAGAAAAGCCTCCTAACACAACAATGGTCAGAGACACCGTGACAGCCAGTTCACCTTTGGAAGGGTCCGGAGATGTGGATCCAACAGAAACACCCCCTGACATCACAACAGTCAGAGACACAGCGACAGCCAGCTCACTACCGGAAGGGTCCGGAGATGTGGATCCAACAGAAACATTCCCTGACACTACAACGGTCAGAGACACTGTGACAGCCAGCTCACCACCAGAAGGGTCTGGAGATGTGGATCCAACAGAAAAACCACCTGACGGTACAACGGTCAGAGACACTGCAACAGCCAGCTCACCGCCGGAAGGGTCCGGAGACGTGGATCCAACAGAAATATCCCCTGACACTACAACGGTCAGAGACACCGCAACAGCCAGCTCACCGCCAGAAGGGTCCGGAGACGTGTATCCAACAGAAACACCACCTGACACCACAACGGTCAGAGACACAGCGACAGCCAGTTCACCACCGGAGGGGTCCGAAGACGTGGATCCAACAAAAACACCCCCTGACACCACAACGATCAGAGACATTGTGACAGCCAGCTCATCGTCGGAAGGGTCTGGAGACATGGATCCAACAGAAGTGCCTCCTAACACAACAACAGTCAGAGACACCGTGACAGCCAGTTCACCTTTGGAAGGGTCCGGAGATGTGGATCCAACAGAAACACCCCCTGACATCACAACAGTCAGAGACACAGCGACAGCCAGCTCACTACCGGAAGGGTCCGGAGGCGTGGATCCAACAGAAACATCCCCTGACACTACAACGGTCAGAGATACTGTGACAGCCACCTCACCGCCAGAAGGGTCTGGAGACGTGGATCCAACAGAAACACCCCCTGACACAACAACGGTCAGAGACACTGCAACAGCCAGCTCACCGCCAGAAGGGTCCGGAGACGTGTGTCCAACAGAAACACCACCTGACACCACAATGGTCAGAGACACAGCGACAGCCAGCTCACCACCGGAGGGGTCCGGAGATGTGGATCCAACAAAAACACCCCCTGACACCACAACGATCAGAGACATTGTGACAGCCAGCTCATCGTCGGAAGGGTCTGGAGACATGGATCCAACAGAAATGCCTCCTAACACAACAACAGTCAGAGACACCGTGACAGCCAGCTCACCTTTGGAAGGGTCCGGAGATGTGGATCCAACAGAAATACTCCCTGACATCACAACAGTCAGAGACACAGCAACAGTCAGCTCACAGCCGGATGGGTCTGGAGATGTGGATCCAACAGAAACACCCCTTGACACCACAACAGTCAGAGACACAGCGACAGCCAGCTCACTACCGGAGGGGTCCGGAGACATGGATCCAACAGAAACACCCCCTGACACCACAATTGTCAGAGACACTTCGACAGTCAGCTCACCGTCGGAAGGGTCTGGAGACGTGGATCCAACAGAAACACCCCCTGACACCACAACAGTCAGAGACACAGCGACAGCCAGCTCACTACCGGAGGGGTCCGGAGACATGGATCCAACAGAAACACCCCCTGACACCACAACTGTCAGAGACACTTCGACAGTCAGCTCACCGTCGGAAGGGTCTGGAGACGTGGATCCAACAGAAACACTGCCTGACACCACAACATTCAGAGACACTATGACAGCCAGCTCACCGCCGGAAGGTTCCGGAGACGTGGATCCAACAGAAACACCCCCTGACACCACAACGATCAGAGACATTGTGACAGCCAGCTCATCGTCGGAAGGGTCTGGAGACATGGATCCAACAGAAATGCCTCCTAACACAACAACAGTCAGAGACACCATGACAGCCAGCTCACCGCCAGAAGGGTCCGGAGACGTGGATCCAACAGACACACCACCTGACACCACAACAGAAATGCCTCCTAACACGACAACAGTCAGAGACACAGCGACAGCCAGCTCACCACCGGAGGGGTCCGGAGATGTGGATCCAACAGAAGCAGCACGTGACACCACAACGGTCAGAGACACTGCAACAGCCAGCTCACCGCCGGAAGGGTCCGGAGACGTGCATCCAACAGAAACACCCCTTGACACCACAACAGTCAGAGACACCGTGACAGCCAGCTCATCGCCAGAAGGGTCCGGAGACGTGGATCCAACACACACACCCCCTGACACCACAACGGTCAGAGACACCGTGACAGCAAGCTCATCGTCGGAAGGGTCTGGAGACATGGATCCAACAGAAAAGCCTCCTGACACAACAATGGTCAGAGACACCGTGACAGCCAGCTCACCTTTGGAAGGGTCCGGAGATGTGGATCCAACAGAACCACCCCCTGACACCACAACAGTCAGAAGCAATGTGACAGTCAGCTCACCGCCGGAAGGGTCCGGAGAAGTAGATCCAACAGAAACACCCACTGACACCACAACTGTCAGAGACAATGTGACAGTCAGCTCACCACCGGAAGGGTCCGGAGAAGTAGATCCAACAGAAACACCCACTGACATCACAACTGTCAGAGACACTGGGACAGTCAGCTCACCGCCGGAAGGTTCCGGAGACATGGATCCAACAGAAACACCCCCTGACACCACAACGGTCAGAGACACAGCGATAGCCAGCACACCGCCGGAAGGGTCTGGAGACGTGGATCCAACAGAAACACCCCCTGACACCACAACGGTCAGAGACACCATGACAGTCAGCTCACCGCCAGAAGGGTCCGGAGATGTGGATCCAACAGAAACACCCCCTGACACTACAACGGTCAGAGACACTGTGACAGCCAGCTCACCTTCAGAAGGGTCCGGAGACGTGGATCCAACAGAAACACCCCCTGACACAACAATGGTCAGAGACACTGCAACAGCCAGCTCACCACCGGAAGGGTCTGGAGACGTGGATCCAACAGAAACACCCCCTGACACCACAGCGGTCAGAGACACCGCGACAGCCAGCTCCCCGCCAGAAGGGTCCGGAGACGTAGATCCAACAGAAACACCCCCTGACATTACAACGGTCAGAGACACTGTGACAGCCAGCTCCCCACCGGAAGGGTCCGGAGACGAGGATCCAACAGAAACACCCACTGACACAACAACGGTGAGAGACACTGTGACAGCCAGCTCACCACCGGAAGGGTCTGGAGACGTGGATCCAACAGAAACACCCCCTGACACAACAACGGTCAGAGATACTGCAACACCCAGCTCACCGCCAGAAGGGTCCGGAGACGTGGATCCAACAAAAACACCCCCTGACATAACAGCAGTCAGAGACACCGCGACAGCCAGCTCCCCGCTGGAAGGGTCCGGAGACTTGGATCCAACAGAAACACCCCTTGACACAACAACGGTCAGACACACTGTGACAGCCAGCTCCCCGCCGGAAGGATCCGGAGACGTGGATCCAACAGAAACACCCCTTGACACAACAACGGTCAGACACACTGTGACAGCCAGCTCACTGCCGGAAGGGTCCGGAGATGTGGATCCAACCCTTGTGATATCCTCAAGTCCATATACAACTTCAAGAGAATATACAGAAAGTGCTTCAAGTTCTCCTGTCGACGGTTCTTCACCTACAGAAATTACTGTACTTCCAACTACAGCAAGTCCATATCCCACCACTTCAACAACTATTGACGCTACCTTGCATACTACTACCGGGCATACTGAAACAACATCAGGTGTGTAGCCTTATAAGGTATTTATCAATGTCTTTCTGTTTGTCTATCTATACATGCACATAGATAAATATACTATAAGACCAAAGTTTAACAAGTAAATTAATATCTCCTGAATCTCCTAGATATTACTTTCCTTTCATAAACGCTTTAGTACCATGTATCATTTACTAAGTATTTGTTATATTGCATTTAAATATCAAAAGGATCTACAAAAACGGCTTCACAAACACCGATCTCTCCTGTCACCAGTACTTCACCCACAGAAACCACAGCACTTTCAAATAATGTTCATCTGTCAACCATTGCTTCAACAACCACTGCCTCTACATTGTATCCTACTACCAGCCATACTGTAACAGCACCAGGTGGGTATCCAGATAAGATACATATATCATAAGACCTATCTATCTATCTATCTATCTATCTCTCTCTACACATGTACATCGATAAATATACCATAAGACCAACTGTCTGTCTGTCTACCTACATATATATTTACATACACATACATACACATAACAGAAGAACAACGTTTGAGTGGTAAATGATACTGAAAAAGCATCAGTTGTGTACTCTGATAAGGTATGTACCGATATCTGTTTATCTATCTATCTATCTATCTATCTATCTAGATGTACATACCATAAGACCAAAGCTGGACTAGTAAGTTAATATCTCCGAAGCCTAGACCTTATTATCCTTTAAGTATGTTTTTATATGTCATTTAAATATCACAATGATCTACAGAAACTGCTTCACAAACACCAATCCCTCCAGTTACGAGAACTTCACCCACAGAAAGCACTGCACTTACAAATAATGTTCATCTGTCTACCATTGCTTCAACAACTACTGCCTCTACATTGTATCCTACTACCAGCCATACTGTAACAGCAGCAGGTGGGTATCCAGATAAGATACATATATCATAAGACCTATCTATCTATCTATCTCTCTCTCTCTATACATGTACATCGATAAATGTACATAAATATACCATAAGACCAACTGTCTGTCTGTCTACCTACTTATATATTTACATACACATACATACACATAACAGAAGAACAACATTTGAGTGGTAAATGCTACTTATAAAGCATCAGTTGTGTACTCTAATAAGGTACGTACCGATGTCTGTTTATCTATCTATCTATCTAAAGATACATACCATAAGACCAAAGCAGGACTAGTAAGTTAATATCTCCAAAGCCTAGACCTTATTATCCTTTAAGTATGTTTTTATATGTCATTTAAATATCACAATGATCTACAGAAACTGCTTCCCAAATGCCAATCCATCCAGTCACGAGTACTTCATCCACAGAAACGATTGCACTTACAAATAATGTTCATCTGTCTACCACTGCTTCAACAACTACTGCCTCTACATTGTATCCTACTACCAGCCATACTGTAACAGCACCAGGTGGGTATCCAGATAAGATACATATATCATAAGAACTATCTATCTATCTGTCTATCTATCTATCTGTCACACCCATGATCACATGTTTCCATACAGCCTATCAGGGAACATTTTAAGGTATTTAGGCCTACCTTGTCCATTTCTCTGGGCCCTGTCGTGGTTTCCAGTTGGTTATCCGAGAGCGCGTTCATGGTATTGATTTCTTGTGTATCTGACCTTGGCTTCCACTATTGACTATCCGATCTCTGTATTCCTTGACCTTTGGCTTGGTTTCTGACTATTCTGAATTCTCCGTTCCTTGACCCGTGGCTTGTTCATCGTTTGCGTTATTTCTTCATCTTGTTTTTTCCCTGTCTTGTGGCATTTTACCTTTATGCGTTAAATCTGGCCATTCTAAGGCCCTGTAATACATCTTAGGTATTTTCTTGTTTTCTACTTAAGTTCTGCGTGTTGGGCATCTACAGTATCCTGACACTATCTATCTATTTATCAATCTCTTTATCTATCTCTATATATACATGAACATAGATACATATACAGTAAGACCAAAGTTTGAGTGGTAAATGAATATGTTCAAAGCCTATACATTATTTTCATTCAATAAATGCTTTATTAAAAGTTAGTATAACTTTTATATTAATCTACATGAATCTTTTACTAAGTATTTGTTATATTACATTTGAATATCAAATGATCTACAGAAACTGCTTCACAAACGCTGATACCTCCTGTCACCAGTACTTCACCCAAAGAAACAACTGCAATTACAAATACTGTTCATCTGTCTACCACTGCTTCACCAACCACTGCCTCTACATTGCATCCTACTACAAGCCATACTGTAACAGCACCAGGTGGGTACCCAGAAAGGCATTTATCGATGCCAAACTGTCTCTCTATCTATCTCTATATATACATGTACAAATAACAGAAGAACACAGTTTGAGTGGTAAATACTACTGAAAAAGCACCAGGTGTGAACTCGTATGAGGTATGTATCGATGTCCTCTGTCTGTCTATGTCTCTGTCTTTCTCTCACTCTCTCTCTATGTCTGTCTGCCGATCTATCTATACATCTACATAGATAAATATACCATAAGAGCAAAGTTTGAGTGGTTAATGTATGTCTCCAAACAGAGACATTGCTTTCTTTTAATAAATGCATTAGTATCATACATCTTTTATATTACTCTACATGTATATTTTTATAAGTATCTTTTATATTAAATTTAAATATCAAAAGGATCTACAGAAACGACTTCTCAAACACTGATCCCTCCGGTCACCAGTACTTTACCCACTGCAAACACTGCACTTACAAATACTGTTCCTCTGTCTACCACTGCTTCACAAACCACTGCCACTACATTGTATCCTACTACCAGCCATACTGTAACAGGACCAGGTGGGTATCCAGATAAGATACATATATCATAAGACCTATCTATCTATCTATCTATCTATCTATCTCTTTATCTATCTCTATATATACATGAACATAGATACATATACCAGAAGACCAAAGTTTGAGTGATAAATGAATATGTTCAATGCATATACATTATTTCCCTTCAATAAATGCTTTATTATCGTATAACTTTTATATTAATCTACATGAATCTTTTACTAAGTATACGTTATATTACATTTGAATATTAAATGATCTACAGAAACTGCTTCACAAACGCTAATACCTCCTGTCACCAGTACTTCACCCGAAGAAACCACTCCAATCACAAATACTGTTCATCTGTCTACCACCGTTTCACCAACCACTGCCTCTACATTGTATCCTACTACCAGCCATACTGTAACACCACCAGGTGGGTACCCAGAAAGGCATTTATCGATGCCAAACTGTCTCTCTATCTATCTCTATATATACATGTACAAATAATAGCAGAACAAGTTTGAGTGGTAAATACTACTGAAAAAGCACCAGGTGTGCACTCTTATGAGGTATGTATCTGTAACGGATCGCCTGGCACCCCGACTGGGTACCTCCGTTGAAGGATGCTCCTAGCGCTTCCTGAGGACTCCAAGCACTGCAGCAGACACCACAATCACCGAACCGGAGAAGCGTATACCTTCTCTCAAGCATATGAATGCTGTAGACAGTTGAATAGGAACCATATGAATAGGTTTACTCTCCTAGCAGTCAAACTGGAACAGCATACAATGAATCCTTCCCCCAATAATGAGACGACACTTCACTTTGAGGGTTAAAACAGGAACTCCCTGTACTGTCACATACAGTCTCTTTTATTCCCAATCCACAAACATAGTACAGCCCACAGGGCGTTACAAAACAGCCAATCAATCCATACAATACACCCAGACACACCCACACAAAATCCTCCCCTCTGGCTGTGATATGATTACTGAACACAATGGGTAATCTAATTATCACAGCCAGAGAAATACAGTTTCATAAAACACATCACAGGGACCCCAAAACATGCAATAACCCCATAAAGTATATCATTGGAACTGGGGGATCTGGGTGAACCACATATCCAAAATTCACCCAGATCCGTTCAGTACTTTGGAAAATACAGTTTAATGCAGATTCTGCAGAACATATACCGGCTAAATAAAAAGCAATCACTGTATAATGTGTCCCCTGCTGTATAGTCCAAAACCACCGCACGATGTCTCTGTGCAACAAATACTGGCGAGATGGCACCGTGTTGAAAAGTCCACAGTGTCTGTGAGTTAAAATGGCCGCCATCCATTGTTCTCACCATGTGCTTCTGATACAGGAAATGGTGGCCACCCAGTACCTCCACAGTATGTCCCAAGATGGTTCTTAAAAGGGCCAGCAGCAGCACAACACAAATCCATTATGCCCAAATCATGTCTTTAAAGGGCAATACATCCCAGGGGCCATAGTCACATGGCAGGAGGCTGGCAACCAGGCTTCTCCAGTGCATAGTGGCGAGGTTGGTTGCGCCACAGTATCGATGTCCTCTGTCTGTCTATGTCTCTGTCTTTCTCTCACTCTCTCTGTCTGTCTGTTGATCTATCTATATATCTACATAGATAAATATACCATAAGAGCAAAGTTTGAGTGGTTAATGTATGTCTCCAAACACATCTTTTATATTACTCTACATGTATCTTTTTCTAAGTTTCTTTTCTATTGAATTTAAATATCAAAAGGATCTACAGGAACGACTTCTCAAACACTGATCCCTCCGGTCACCAGTACTTTACCCACCGAAAACACTGCACTTACAAATACTGTTCCTTTGTCTTCCACCGCTTCACAAACACAGACATTGCTTTCTTTTAACCCCTTAAGACCGGAGGGCGTACTATTACGTCCTCTAATAGGCGGCTCTAAACGCCGCCGGGCGTAATAGTACGCCCTCCGGTCTTTCTGTACTTACCCGGTCGCCGGCGGTCCCACGCCGGCGATCGCGGTGGGGGGGACTCCCAGGGAGCCCCCCGCGGCACGACCGTCCTCCAGGAAGCCCCCCGGCCGTGTGAGTGGGGTCCTAGCGAGGACCCCACAATCACATGGCCCGGGGAATACTAACTTCTGTATTTGCCAGCCTTGGGGGCTGCCTGTAATGACTAGGTAGTCCCCCTGCAGCTGAAAATAAAAAGTAAAATAAATAAATAGTGTAAAAAATAAATAATATATACTTAGATCATATATATATATTATATATATATGATCAAAGTATATATACCTGCTCACATACACACATATACACCCCGTCTAGGTGTATTTTACCTAATAATATATATATAATTATATATATATATTAATATCAAATTCTACGTACACTGATACTGATTAAATATATATATAATTTATTGTTATATATATATTTATATAAATATAAAAAATTAAAATGTAAATACGTTAAAAAGGCTAAAATTACAAAATAATTAAAAATAAATAATTAAAAATATATAGATGTGTGTTATTTAGATTTCTAACTGTATTGTGAAATTAATATATATATATATATATTATCAAAATACACGTAGAACGAAATAATATATATATCTATATACATAAATATATACGTATATATCACTATATATATACCTATATATATAAATAAAAATATTTTAAAAAAATTATATAGATATATACATATATATACACATACGTATATATATACATATATTAATTCTACATATATATTTATGTAATATTTTTACATAATTAGGTATCTTAATTAATTACAATTAGCGGGACCTGCCTGACAACCCATGCGAAAGTAAAGGGAATTTAATTTGCTAGCACTATATTTAACCCTATAACTTTCCAAGACACCATAAAACCTGTACATGGGGGTACTGTTCTACTCGGGAGACTTCGCTGAACACAAATATTAGTGTTTCAAAACGGTAAAATGTATTACAACGATGATATCGCCAGTAAAAGTGAAGTTTTTTGCATTTTCACTGCAAAACGGATTAAGCGGTTAATATTATTGCTGTAATTACTTTTACTGTTTTGAAACACAAATATTTGTGTTCGATAATCTCTAACCCTCATGTACAGGTCTATAATGTTACCCTAAAAATTACAGAATATAAGGCTTGCGTTTCATTTTCATTAAAATTCGCCAGATTGGTTACGTTGCCTTTGAGACCCTATGGTAGCCCAAGAATGAAAATTACCCCTATGATGGCATACCATTTGCAATAGTAGACAACCCAAGGTATTGCAAACAGGGTATGTCCAGTCTTTTTTAGTAGCCACTTAGTCACAAACACTGGCCAAAATTGGCGTTTTTTGCATTTTTCACACACAAACAAATACTAACGCTAACTTTGGCCAGTGTTTGTGACCAAATGGCTACTAAAAAAGACTGGACATACCCCATTTGCAATACCTTGGGTTGTCTACTATTGCAAATGGTATGCCATTATGGGTGTAAATTTCATTCCGGGCTACTATACAGTCTCAAAGGCAACGTAACCAATCTGGCGAATTTCAATTTCAAATGTAACGTGCTATATTTGACCCTGTAACTTCCCAAACGCCATAAAACCTGTACATAGGGGGTACTGTTTTACACGTGAGACTTTGCTGAATACAAATATGTGTATTTTATTGCAGTAAAAGCAAACAGTATTATGACACTGACCGTTTAATTGTCATGTAGAACTAAAAAAATCCAATAAAATCGTATTTTCTCCCATTTTTTTCATATTAAATTATGTTTCATAGCTAAATATTTGATATTAAATGAAAGCACTGTTTCCCCTGAATAAAATGATATATAATAAGGGTGGGTGCATTTACTATGAAAGAGGTGTATTACGGTTGGACAGACATGTAGCG